TCAGCACCACTGCCTGTTCGGTCTGCAACTTTGGCTAGGGCTTGATAGCAGGTCATGGCTTTGGCACTAGCCCCATGGTGGTCTGTGGCTTCATCTCCAGTGGCATATCTGGTCATGACTGCGGCCCAGTATTGGGCTGTGACTTCAGCTCCTGGCCTGTCTTAGGCTAAAACTTGCCTCTGACTCACATTTAGCTCCAGTTCATGCTCAGGCAGTTAACGCAGCTCTGGCTGCTATTTGGGCAGCGATGCAGGCTCTGGCCACATCTCTGACCATGGCTTTGGTTCCAGACCAGCTTGGGTTATAACTTTGACTCTTGCACTACCTCAGGCAGTGACTGCTGCTCTGGACTGATACTGGGCCAATTTTTGCTCCAGTACCTGTTTGAGCGATTACTTTGACCCTGGCCCTCTTTTCAGCTGTGCTTTTAGCTCTGGACATTCCTTGGGCTGCAGTTTTGGCTCTGGCCCCATCTTGAGCCACTACTTAATGCACATAGTGAACTGTGATGTTGGCTCCAGCCCTGCTTTGGTCTGCAACTTTGGCTCTGGCCCCATCTCAGGATGTGATCTCAGACCTGGCCCCTGCTCGGATTGTGACATCCACTCCATTCCCATCTTGGGGCCCCAGCTTTGGTGCTGATTCCTTGCTCTGGTAACACAGCATGTACTCTGGACGCATCTTGGGTTGTGTCTTTGGCTCTGGCCCAGTCGTGGGCTCTGCTTTTGGCTCCAGCCTGCTCAGGCTTCGACTCCAGTGCTGTCCCAATTTCAGGTTGCAATTTCAGGTCCCAGTCTCAGGTTGTGACTTCCACTCCATCTCCATCTGGGGCTGCAGCTTCAGTTCTGGTGCCATCTTGGGCTGCTGCTTTGGCTGCAGTCCTCTGCACAGGAGGCTGCTGCAGCTCTGGCCCCTACTTTGGTCAGTGACATTGGCTCCAGTCCTATCTTGAGCCCTGACTTTTGCTCTGGCCTGACACTGAGTTATCACTTAGGCTCCAGCCTGATACTGGGCTGTGACTTCAGCTGCAGGCTCTGCTTATGCTCTCGTGGCTACTCTGGTGCCTGCTTGGTCCTTGGCTTCTGTGCTGGTGTAGTCTTGCGCTCTGACTTTAGGTCCTGCCCAACATCTTTGGCTCTGGCCCATGCTCCGGCTGAAGCTTTGGCATTGGTGCCAAATCAAGCCTCGACTTTGTCAAGATACTGGGATGAGGCTTCAGCTCCTGCCCCATCTTGGGCAACAGTTTTAGCTCTGGCCTCACCTCATGTTGCTATTCGGGATCCAGCCCCATCTTCAGCTGTGACTTCAGCTCCAAACAGTGCTTGGGCTGAAACTTTGGCTGCTGCACCTGATTGGGTTGTATCTTTGGCTCGGGTCTTCATTTGGGCATTATTTTGCCTCCAGCCCCATCTCAGGCTCTTAATTTATCTACAACCAGACTTTGCCTCTTGCTCAGGCTGCTACATCAGCTCTGGCATCACCTCAGGCTACGACTTTGGCTTGAAGTCTGCTTGAGCAGTCACTTGGTTTGGGTCCTTACACAGGCTGCATATTCAGCCCAATCTTGGGCCTCTGCTTCTGCTCTGGCTCCTTTTCTGGTTGCTACTTTGACTCTGGCTCCAGGCCCCCAATCTCAGGCTGCAACTTTGGTTCTAGGTCCTGCTTGGGCACTACTTCATCTTCTGCTTGGGCTGTGACTTTGTTTCCAGCTTCTGCTCTGGCAGGCACTCAGTGTCTTCATGTATGTACCTACACCAGAAGCAGACAAAGTGGTGCTCTGCAGTGGTGTTAGGTGGGAAGCAGGGAACAGGCAGAGGTGTGGAAGTCACCAAAGCAGCACTTTCTCTGCTGCCTTAGTCCTGGTCTCACCAGATTACTGCAGGTTTTTGCAAAGAGGTGGAGAAACCCACCCTCTCCTAGGCCCTAAAGGACGGGTAAGGGGACAGTCCTTTCCCATGAAGATGCCGGGGTGCCAGGGAAGGCCTCTGTTAGCACTGACTGGATGGTCCTGGGAGCAACAGAAGGTGCTCCTGGGCTTTCCCCCCCTCACCACTTAGTGCTCTGCTGGGGATAGCTCAGCAGCTCTGCTGGGCACTCCCCTGCTTGTTACACTTGTTAGGTGCCTCAGTGACAGCTCTGGGTGCCGTGGCCAAACTTTGCTTTCCCAGGCCATGGCATCTGTTCCCTCTGTGCTGCCAGAGGCACCCACGGATGCTGCTCCAGCTGGAGGGACACTACTGCCACATGGGACTGCGCCAACTGTGCTGGCTTGGCCACCCGTAAGAGGAGACCCTGTGCTGTCCCCAGCACACCCTTGCTTGGTGCAAATGACCAGCCTGTGAGCTCAGTCCAGGTGCACCACCCCACCAAAGGGGGTGGACACCAGCTTCCAGCCACAGGAACCCACACTGTTTTACTGGCAATACTGAGAACTGCGCCCTTGTACTGTGGTAAGAGCTATGGAAATTAAGTAAGAAAGACACAAGGATGAAACTCAACCTTAACCTTAAGGTTGAAGTTTCAGTGTAGCTGGGTACGTGCTGGGCACGTGCTGGGTATGTGCTGTTCAGTCTCTGGGTGGCCCAGGAACTCCTCAGCTGCTCTCTGCACTTATGAGGCCATGCATTGACTGCAGATGAGGCCAACTTGCCATGAGGTCACCAGTACAACCAAGCATTCACCTAATTGTCACAAAACACTCCGCAGGTCAGATTTCCAAAGCCTTCATTTCCCCTCCCACTTTGTACAGATGGATCCACGTAATTGTGTGCTGCTAACTGACATGCTGGGTGAAGGATGCAGCTCACCCCAAAACTGTAGGTTGCTCATGCTGCAAAACTGACCAGACAGTACACAGCAATGACTGGCAGGTGCCTCACCTAGGGGCTGTTCCTCCAGATGCAGAAATGGCCACATGACAGTACAATGCACCTAGATAAGAGAGATCTTTTGATGAATTGTGTAAGCACTAGAGTGGTCACAGGCCAGCTGGACACAGGGAAGGGCAAGAAGATAAGGGTACTAAAAGGGTGTAAAGAACAAGTTCTAACATGGCTGGGAGGGCTACAGACTCACCCTAGGACAACAAGGTGCCCCTGTGCAACCCTGCCAATGTGCAAAGGGGGGATGGATCCTGCGAGTTGCACAGAGGTTCCCACAGCTGACCCCAGACCAAGAGGATGACCATGCAGTATTACTGGGGCAGACTTCAGACTCTGCAGGGTGCTGCAGGACATAGGCAACACTGCCCCCAAGAATGGAAAACCAGAACAAATGCCAACATCAGAAGAATGGGTGCAGAAGAATGTGTAAGGAGAAGTACGCTAGAAGAGAAACAAAGAAAAGCATCTATTAACTCCAGTCCTACAGCAGTGCTCATCTCAGCAGCATACAAATTCACAGATTTTTTTTTTAATAATATTTATCATAAACATGGCACTTTACATCTTCAGGGCTCCGAATATACAATGTTTATTCCTCACAACATCCCTGTGAGGTAGGCATTACATTGCAGTTACTATTTGACACATGGACACAAGGCAGAGAAGTGTGTAATCAATCCTGCACAATTAAGTCAAGGAAGTTAAACTCACTAAAACAGGGAGGCCCTTGGGGACTTGACTGAAAACGTAAGAGTGGGGCAGAGATGATATTTTATCAGCTATAATTCTTTTACTCTAGTCATTTACAATGCTCAGGGTTCAACTCTCTTGCTTCCCCATACTCCCCTGCAAAAACCCCACCTTTGTTAAACAAGATACATAGGCAGAGACTGGCTAGAAAGCGAGACCTGTAATAGGAATAGGAAAAACACACTTCTTCAGCCTGCATTTGAATAAAGCCATGAGAGCAGTTTGCCTGCCCAGTCAAATACAACAGTTCCAACTTTAGTCCTTTATGACACCTTTGAGACAGCATTTCAGCCTTCAGCTATTACTAAGTATCTGCTTGACCCAAGAAAATCTAGAAGGAAAGAAAGTTTGGCAGACTATCTATCTCAGAAATTATGCTTATTTTAGTTGAATTGTTCTACTGAAGTCTGAGGGATTCCTGAATAGGAGGAAGAACTTTTGGGTTTAACTCTAACTTCGCATGTATTTAAAAAGCCACTTGATATACCCATTTCTCAAGTAAACTTCTCTTTCAGTTTTTTTCCCCCCAAAAAATGAAATAGAACAGTTTTGTAAACTTTAACATGATAAAAAAAAAACCAAGCCTGATTTTTAATATACAGTTATTAATATCATTTAGTAATTTTCTACTGTAAATCAACTTTAGGAAACAAAGTATACTTGACAGTATGGCTACTATGATTAATTAATCTTCTTAGAGCTTTCAGCTGAGATTTCTGAAAAGATACACTGTCCAAGAAAGATTCATAGTCTCAACCTCTAAAGGATCACAGCTCAGCTCAAGTCAATGCAGCCATTATAATTCATTCAGGCCAAGTAGCTAATCCATCGATTCCTTCATGTGCAGTACCAGTGATAATGGTCTGTCACCAAGTTGAGAGATGATCACGACTGAAGAGGCCTGGGTCCACATACTCTGAAAACCAAAATATGTTGTCTTTCCCAGTAGAGAGAGAAATCTTCCTTCTCATTTAATGGAAGATTCAGTCTAATGGAGTAATGGCTGCACACTATGATGGAAGAATAAAGTAGTGGCTTTTGGAAGAAACTACCTTTGGAGGGTATGGGGAGGGTGTGTTTGTGGTGGAGATAAAAAGAAAAAAGGAGAAGACAGAGTAGCTGTTAACACAATAGACATACGGACTTCTAGTCCGCGATGCACTTTTCCATCTGCAAGTTGAAATCTCATTACAACCTCTCCCCCAGAGAACTTTAACCTTGGTGAATGTACAGAAATTTTAAATCCACAAAGTAACTGTAGTCTCAGAAGGGGGGAGAGAAAAAAAGCTCAGAAGTGCACTTCGTATATCCTGCCTCACAAAGGGTTAAAGTGCTAAGTTTGATATATCCAAAAATTAAGCATCTCTCCTACTCCTTTATTTTTTTAAAAGAAACTTTATCTTTGGTTTCTTGTATCTTCTCTGTAATCTTATCCTTTGTTTCCTCCATCTTCTCTGTAATCTTATCCTTTGTTTCCTCCATCTTCTCTGTAATCTTATCTTTTGTTTCCTCCATCTTCTCTGTAATCTTATCCTTTGTTTCCCCCATCCTATCTTGTATATATTCCTTTACTGGTGGTGGTGTGGACATGTAGCCATGCTTACGTAGATACTTAACAGTGATGGATGTTCCTCCCAAAGTCACAGTGTATCTGGCAGGAGTTGCAATCTTCAAGAAAACAAAGAGGACACTGTATAAATAAAACAGGACACTATTACCTAGCAACAGGTATTTTTAATATTGAGAATGTATTTTGGCCAGCATCAGATACTAAGTTCTTCTATTTATACGGAAATAAGCCAATTTACAGTGCATTCCACCAGAAATGCGTATCTTCTGACAAAACCAGCATAGGCAGTAGGGTTCCATAAAACAATAAAACCCACACAAATGAAAAAAACGAAACCCCCAAACGTGAAACCCTCTCTGTGCAGCTGGTGGGACATGCATTAGGCATCTCGGAATGCAAATCAGGACAGATAGTACGTAAACACGGAGCCACATAAGCAAAAAGGAAATACTGACAAGAAGATAGCTTTAAATCCTAAAATTCACAAGAGTACAGGCATCTTTCAGTCCAAAACTAGGACCCACACGTAGAAAACTAGAGCTAAAGGAGACCTTAAAAGGTCTACTAATCCAAGGGGCTACAAACCAGGTTTGTTATTCTAGATAGACTAACATGCTCTTCCAGAACTTCATAGAAAAGCCTGCACAATTTTCCATTTGCCACCTATTCTAGTGCTTCCACATCTTACAAGTTTCTTCCAACACTGCCAGATCTCCCAGCTATAATAAAATCTTTATATTTAACCACATGTATTTATTGGTCTCTTCTAGGCACAATAATAATTGGCAAGAGTAATGCTTTCACTTTTTCTTTTTGAAAATAACTCCTTTAAATAACAGTTAAGAAGTTTCCAAATGTGATGTTTTGATCAGTGGCATTTGAAGTGAATACAGTATTTTGGTTTTGCACAGTCTGACATGTTTCCCAAACAGACTGCACAATAGAGACCCAAACCTGAATGCAAGTAACTGATTCCAATGGGCAACTGAAGTACATGACAACGATGGAAAGCTACTAAGGTAGGAAGACAAACTAGTGAATCCTCTAGGATAAAAATAACTGCACTTTCACCTAGAAATCATAAGGTGTTTAGGCTTTACCTCTTTATCCCTGTTAGTTACATCAGGGATATAGAGGAATAACATTACATCAGGGATGTAATGGTTGTAATTAAAATCTCTGAGGGCAGAGAATAATTCTGCAGCAAACAAGTTATTTTAGAAATACAGATAAACTCCATAAAGAAATACAGAGCCTCTATGAACAGGGAAAGTTCAGGTTAGATGTAAGGAAGAAGTTCTTTACAGTGAGGGTGGTGAGGCACTGGAATGAGTTGCCCAAGGAAGCTGTGAGTGCCCCATCCCTGTCAGTGTTCAAGGCCAGGTTGGACAGAGTCTTGGGTGACATGGTTTAGTGTGAGGTGTCCCTGCCCATGGCAGGGGGGTTGGAACTAGATGATCTTAAGGTCTTGTCCAACGCAAACCATTCTATGACTCTATGAACTTGCATTTTTTACTACAAAAATGAATGCTCAAGTATGTGTAACTATCAAAGAGAGAAAACACTATTCTTTCTGCTGTAAACAAGTAAACCCTGTTTAGTTCACCAGGCAAGATTTAAAGCTTATTTACAAACTGCAATTATACTTACTTTATACAATGCATACGCAGTTAGTGCATTTCCACTCTGGGAATTTTTCAGGATGTTCACTATGTTGTCTGGTAAGCCAATCAACTCTAGGAAAGGAACAACATTCACTCCTCTACAAAAGAGAAAAAATTGGCAACCTGAATTGGAATTGGAAACCTGAGAAGTGATTTATAGTACCATTGCCATTCTTTAACTCTATTATACCAACTTTGTAATTTGATAGTGAAGTACTGTTTCATCTAAACAACATACTTACAGGATTTATGTTTTTGTACATAAAGGCAAATTAACTTTCTTTTCAGCATTCCAAGACGCGACCCACTTATATTACCCCTGTTGGGCTCAGTAACTACTAACTTACCTGTGTCCCAGTTTATTACGTTTGGAGGTAAGTAGATATAACGGTGGTAAGACAACTACTCAGGCTCCAGTTGTGCGGGTTCAACTTTATGTTCTGTTTTGCCTAAAATTACCTTTTTGTTTTCTTTATAAAATTTCAGACTAATCTGCAGCATGCCCAGAAGCACAGAGTCCATACTTCAGTGTCCACCATTCACTTTCAAATGTATCAAACAAATGGAATATGGCAAAAGAAGAGGAAGCAACATGTTATATGGACAGGACTTCAGGGGTTTTGTGCCCAGTTGTTCTGCTTTGTCAAGATGGGTGGAAGGAGCTCCTATCACAATTTCTATTTGAAAACCAGGGAAACTAACATCAGCGCTAAAGAAAAAACAGACAGCTCATCTTTACATTACAGTAGAAAGCTACTGTGGAATGTAGTTATAGAAGACCTGACTTTCCAATATTTAGACATGTATTATTAGTGTATCTTTACCAATCTCTACTAATATTTCAAGCATTCTTCTGCACGTGTGTACTTTAACATCAGGAACAGTAGCAGGCAGTAAGTTACTAACAGTTACTAGAAGCTACAATCTGAAAGCCCGTCCCCAGAATAGAAAATGGAGACATAGCAATATCTGAAAGACAGCATTAACTGTGTTATTTCATAAACCACCACTGTTTTCTCTCATATCATGAGCAGGCATTCTGAAAGTTATTTTTCCACTTCAAGAGGGTGCTGCTCCTGTGGCATGACAAACTGAAGCTTTGTTATAATTACTTTCTGGTTAAATATTCCAGTCGTTTTGATGTGTCAAATACCTATTTCAGCAGCTAACTTCAGTGTTTCAAGGAAGTAATCTTCAGTTTGAAATGCCTGAATGTAAGCATCAACCTGAATTCTTCCAAAGCAAAATATTTTTATAGCTCAAGACCTTTATTTCTCGGACATGAGCTAAATTTAGAATGACATTTGGATCTATAGCTCCTAGAAAGGGCAATTATGCCAGCTGGTTAGAGTAACTAAAACAAACACTTGTGTGGTAAGGCATTCTGATGTCTAAGCCCCATCCTTACCAACACAAACTATTGTTGTTTCATGCTTTCTATTACTAAATATACAACACTAGCAATCCAGAGATAAACATTTACTTATATTTAGCAAACCATTTGCAGACAGATAAAACCTCTTTCATCTGACTAGCAGCTCTTATCTGATTTAGGGTTGGTTTTTTTTTCCTAACAAATGCCATTTTCCAGAACAGTATCTGGCATATGCTATAACTGAAATAAACTAAAGCTAGAATAGTTAATTCTTAATTTTATTTTTTTTAGCCACACAAATACTTAACTTACAATTAAAAAGTCTGGCCTACAGTAGCAATTTTTCAGTGGAAAGCAGGAAAGACAAGAAACAGAAGTAAAAGGGAAAAGATACACATGGCTTGTGAGGAGCTCAGGGTGAGGTGAACAACATGGAAGTCCAGTGATGAAACAGGAATGGGGATGAAGGGGGAAAGGAAGTGGTGAAATGACCCTCAAGTCCAACAACAAAAAAAGGTCTATAAAGATCTCACCTAGCATTTTGAAATCAGGATTGCAAATCCCTATCTTTACCTTGTGAAAGGTTACTAATAACTTCAATGCTGTTTGCATCCATTCATCTTCTGGGGAGATGAGCATTCTTTCAAATGTTACCAACATATCTAGTACAGAGCAATAATCGCATGATAATAGTGTGTACATAACACTCATGAATCCTATATACTTTTGATATTAATGATAAGCTTCAACTAAAAATGTACCCTCATTTCCCTATTATGTATAGACACACTTTTTAACATGTAATAATTTATATTTCCCTTCACCTGTGAAAGTCAGTCTCAATTCAACAGCAGTATTGGGCACTGCAACAAAATATCAACTTACTGCATAGCTGCATAGTAAAAGGATCCAAACCACACAGTGGAAGTCAGAAGATGCACGGGAATCATGACTTTTCCATACTGTTTAAAAGTTTTCTTAAATCTCTGAACAAGACTAATTGATTTGTCTTGTAATGGATCAGGTTCTGAAGAATCTGATTCTACAGGGCTCTGCTTGGGTGTATCAGTGGCCGAAGTCAAACGATTTCCCTCTTCTAGTACTTTGTGAGGACTGTCTGCTGGCTGTGATGAAGAAGCACTTTTATTTGAGGCGAAGCATGCTGCACCTCTATGAAGACATCGTTTAGGAGGGTCCAGTGCCAAAATCACTTTGCATCCAATATTAGACAATGCTGATTGTCCTTTTAAGCACTGAAAGATACCAGTGCGAGGAAGAACCAAGTACGTCCCATGTGCCAGCTGAGAAGCAGTATGGAATAGACTTCGTTGCATTTTGATGAAGCGTGGCTGAGGTTTCTATAGAGAGGAAACAAGAAAAAAAAAGAATCAACAAATTGCATTTCAGTAATCTATTTGCTCCAATGCCACTCAAAATTCTCAAATTTTACATTGCTTTCTATTCTTCTACTTTAAAAGGTTTTCATTATCTGGCTTTGCAGAAATTGTTACCTTTATTAAGCAAATAATTTTAGATCACTCTTCTTCAGCATTCTGAACTAAAACGGCCCCTTCACTTAACACACTCTATTCCTCATAGCTAAAATGCTCATTCTACTCTCTAAAAATATTTTTGAATGTTTAGGGCTATCTACTGCTTTTATCTTCATAATCTGGCACAGTTATTGAAAAGTTATCCTTTAAGCTTCACTTCTAGTAGCAACTGAGAGTTTGAGTGACACTTTGAGCATAAGTAAATGTCATATGAACTCCCTGATGTGCAATTAATTAATTTTCAGTGTCAATATATTTTTAGTTTTGATGTAACCTTTCACATTCTATACTCCACACATTCTTTTGAACAGAGTTCATGGTAAAAAAAGAAAAACTATTAACAAGAATCAATCAATAATCAATAGCCTTAATGGTAACAAACCTATCCATAACAGCCTGCCCAGAAACATCTGTTAGGAAGGGGGATGGTACTTGTGAATATCATGTATTAACACATGCAAAATTAACTACAGTTTACAAAATATTACAATGCAAAGAATATTTTAAAACTGTGGATAACCCAGTTAACTTTATGATTTTGATTACGAAACAGTTATTCCTGAAAGTTCAAATGAATCATTTCCCACAAGAGAGGAATTTATTCTGGCATGTACAGACATCAAGTCATCATATGATCCGCCCAAAACGCATGCTTCAAACTAATGAATGAAATACTCTCTCCTTTCCTTTTTACAATGACTGCAATTTATAGAACTAATTTTCCTTCCCTCCAAAAAAAGTTACACTCATTGATTTTATGTAAGAAATGCCAGTTAAATCAGTTATATTACATCTTTTCAATCTTCCTGATGCCTTTACAGTTTTAATTATCATACAAATTCTTGATCCAAACTAGAAATCATTCAAGGTTAATTGAAATTCCATTGTCATCTTCATGTCTGCTTCCCCTTCACATGTAGTCTTTATTTAAATCAGGTTTTGACAGTGAGTTTACCTAGGCTGCTGAAAATTATCAATACTTCCTAACATAGGCAGAAGTTGAAGCAAAAAAAAAAATGAAGCCATACATACCCTTTATTACTTTCCAGATACACAACACGAGAAATATGGTAAGGTTTGTAGTTTCAGAAAGTTGCAACTTTTCCACTAGTTCTCCACTTCTCAAATATATGTCTTGAATGTCTTGAACATATTGATGACTCTGCTAAAGTAGAAAAAAGGCACGTTTAGAGAAATAGCAAGAACAGCAAACTAGTATTAAGAATATTTTTGGTTAGCCTGAAACCTTGCTTATTGAAGAAATTGTTGGTATAAATTCCCCTTTGGATACTGACACGCCAATGGGACTTTTTTTAATGTGTAACTTAGAAGTTCCTCAACTTTGAATTACTGTTCCAATGCATCTGTTGGAACATTCTTGCCTGCATGTTTTCTAGGTATTTTTATGTTATTGTTGTGCTTGAATTAATTGCAATTACTAAAATTACAATGTTTGATGTGAGGAATGGCTTCAAACTCCCTGGGAACCTCAGTGTTGCACGCGAAGCATAGACATTCACTTTTGTTCCACTCATACTAATAGGAGGTATTGCATCATCAGGGGGAAAAAGGAACTCATCTCTTGTGAGCAAGCAGTTATGGGTTCTGTTGAGTTATGAACTCAGTTACCCCTTGTCCTATCACTACAGTCCC